ATCCTCTGTTCAAGGGCCACGACAAGATCTTGGAGGGCCTGATTCTCCACTTCAAGCAATGGCGGCGATGTTGCTAATCGGACGGTTAGTTCGAGGTAACAAAGGCACAATTCGGGACGAGAACACACCTCGATCTAGAAGGGGCGCTTTGCTGGTCTTCTGATTGAACAAGAGAGGAACATCCTTCAGTTTAGCATACTCATCGCCCAGCTCGTTGCGTTGGCGCCGTTCGGCTTCGACCCGCTGGGGACGCGTCGCCTCCTTCCAATTATGAGCCAGATGCCGGCGGAATACGCGAACGCCAGCTTGTCGTCGTCGTCAAACCCTCGGGAACGTCCGCGGCGGCGGCGACCGACCGGCTGAGCTGGTGGGTGTCGGCGTAGGATCTTGACGGACGTGACGGTGGACGAGGCATTGACCCCGCTCGAATATGACCCGTCACAAAGCCCGTCGAAAGCGCCTGAGCCAGAGAGAAGAGGGGACAGAGGGTCGTACATGTCAGGTGAATGAGGAAGGGGTGAAGTCGGGACGCTTAGGCCGCCATGGTAAGATTTGCTGCAGTCTCAGCAGCGAGATTCTGCGAAGCAACAAAATGAGCGAAAGGCAAAGAACGCACGTTTGCGTCACGCACGTCAAGCTCCACGGGTGTTACCCGTTATAGACGCCAGCGACGGCCTTCTAGATCACTCTAGCGGCACATTGAATGCGACGCGATGGTGGCAGAAGGCGTCACGTACTCGGCGGGTTTAAGAAGTTATAGTCCAATCCGTAATGAGCTGCTTGATCCGACTCGTCATCTGGACATGGGCTGTGAGCAGTTTGTTCGCGATCGGGGGACCAAGACGCTTTACCTTGTAGAGAAGGACCGTTTCTTTGCAGCTGAAGAGAACAGAACGGGCCAAGCATGGATCAACACGCGTCGCGCGCGCCTTGGCACCACATAAACGCCTATAACGAGAGACGCGAAAGTGAGCGCCAGCGGTAAGGTCGCCTGCTCATCTCGTTTGAAGGCGTGGACCACGGCGAAGATAAGGGAGATGAGGAGGGCAGGAATTAGGAGTGGAGGTGCGGTGAGGTAATTGGGGCGAAGTTGGCGGGGGCAGCTCTTGCAGATGCCGCGGACCCTAGTGCGCTTTGTCACGGTTCTCGTTGGGAAACGTTGGCAACAACGCCTCGGTCGCGTATGACGACTTGCTTAGCCTTGACGGGCAACTCTTCGCCGGGGATGACCCTGCCACAAAAGACGCGTAGCTAGGGTCAATTCAACAGAACCAACGCGGGTAGATATGGACGAGCTTACACCGAGACGCGCTCCAGAAACCGCTTTGCCGCAGCATTCTCCGCGAACTTTCATGCCGCAGCACTGGATCAGGGAGGGACACAGGGCTGCCGATGCTTTGCGTAGCAGCGCCGGTGCTGTCGCAGGGGTGATGAGTTTGAGGGCGGCCGTCCTTGGGAGCACAGGGGAGGAAGCGTGAGCTGGGCAAGCACTGCGCAGTTTGCCGAGTCCCAGGGTCGGGTCTGGAGGCGCCTGGCGGCTTATGCGTTGGCCATCTCAGCGGTATGAGGTCAAAGGAAGGAGGCGCCTTGCTTGTTTTTACATGGTTTGATAGCGGGCACGTGAGCGCTACTAGCGTTCCTAGCGAGTCGCGTATTGAATCGGCTTTAGCAAGTCGGCTTAGTAACACTCGAGGCAGCAGTATGGTCACGTGTATCACGGCGTCAATCACATCATCACCGACTCGGAAGATAAGCTTATCCGCACGACTCACGCAAATCTCATAAAGCACAAGTTGGCGACTGAACATTACAAAAGTATAGAAACCCGGAAGGCCCTGCTCTATAACCGAGACGGCTGACAGTGACGGCGTGATCTGGGGTCCCGCTCACCGAATCGTAGACTTAGATATTGGTAATATACCTTTGTAGACGGCTGTGATCAGTAAGTGATAAGTAGTGGCAGGAAGACTGAGTCGACACAACAAAAGATAGTATATCAGTAGAATCTGGTGATCCGAGATCAGGCACGTGACAAGCTGTACGCCAAGCTGCTTGCTACGTCATCGTATGATTGCGATCCAAAGTAGACTACAACACCATCGCCGAGATTACAGCGGTCATCACGAGAACTGCGCCAGCAACTCCACAAGATGCATATAAATAAAGACGCAAGGACTTCTTCAGGTCAGCAATGTCTGTCAGCTGCTTCAGCACTTGGGCTTCGAGAGGTCCAGGCCCGCCTTTCGGCTCCTTTATTTGCGCAGACACGCTGGCAGCACTCTTCTACGCTAGTCATCAGTGAGTTGCTTAGACGCATTGGATCAGGATCCCTACGGCATGTTTCCAGACACAGATACTGACGCTGTTTGCGCTCGCGACAAGGAAGTTGCCATGTGCGTCGGGCTCAGTACACTGGCAAAAGAGGCGTCACTATACGTCGCCGCTCGATTATGCAATCCATACCGCCAGTGCCTGGACTGTTTGACAATCTAGCACGCGGTCAACAATGATCAGACATCATTGAGAGATAAGACGTACCGGGGTGTTCCAGACTTGGGAGACGCTTGGTTGGCAAGTTGAAGAGGTGAATTAATCCCGCATCCCCGCCGCACATGAGAAAGTCACCGTGCCCCGAGAGGAGCGCAGGCTTTGGCGAACAACTGCTGTCAGAAACCTGCAGCGAGACCTTGGGTTTGAGGGATGCAACTCCATCGAATACTTCGTAGTCGCCGGTTGTAAGATTAGCCACGACTTTGCAGTCCATTGCTATCGAGATTGATCCTCTGGGACAGTGAGCTTACTTTCATGCAGACTGAGAACTTACATAAGAAATCCAAGAGTAGAGAGTGGCTGGAGGCTGTTCAGTGTGAACAAATCGAGAATTTCCCTGGCGAGTCAATTAGAGGAGTTGGGGAGACAGTGACAACGGAGCCAACATTGCCCCCGACCGATAGTGCACAAGAAGTGTTCGGGGGTTGGCAGTCAGGAAGGAGAAATGACAGGGTATGTCCGTTTTCATCTCATGGGTAGCCATGTGGGTTAGAACGTCTAGGAACCCGTCCAGTTGAGCACGTTTCAACAAGAAGAAGGACAACCCACCATCAGCCCAGCGGTACGCCTTGATGGATCCCTTGAACGATCCAACAACAAGGGTCGAGCTCAAGACGTCGAACGCTTGGAGTTCTACAGGATCGTCTGCCGCTGGAAATAGCTTTTCTATCCGCAGAGAAGATGATTGCAGGATCATCTAGGAGATAGCTGAGTCGTGACCTTGGAAGACAACAAGTTTCGTGCCTGACTATCTAACTGATAGAGAGCAATAACTCCAGCACCGGTGCCTATACACAACCACGGTTCGGAAAAACCCGCACTGCCTGGCAAGAACAGCAAGTGCGTAACACATCCCCAGCGGACATCATGAATGGATTCTTGGGAGGGAGTCCCTGCCTCGACGTCCCAGAAATGGACGGAGTTGTCTTCGCCTGCGTGAGTGACGCTGGGCGCAAGTGGCTCAAAGAACGAAGACGCTCACCCCCCATGAGAAGCACTCGTCCATTAGGGCAAAAGACTAGCGCATTGGGCGCATCACTTCCTGTGGTCTGTACGGTGGTTTTGTGTTTGAATACGTGAGCCATAAAGTTGGGAGCAAGCAACAATCGCTGATACTTTCAGATCTCCGGCAAGACATTCCGATCAAACGCAGTAGAGTTTATCTGCCGCCGTTGATAAAACCAGTTTTGGGCAGCAACTGTTGTCTGTATGGTTTAGTGAGCTAATGCGTTGGGATTTTATCAGTTTTGGGAGGTCGACTGTTCGATTCCCCCTCGAAACTCTTTTCTTTTCTGGCTGGGGGATACCTCAGCCTAAAGCTGTGGTTATATCCAGTGGCTTTATTCTCAATACTACATTATGGGCTCGTCGCGCAGTGGATCGCTTCGGTGTCCAAATCCCTGCTCTATCGTGGAAAATGGTTGGGAGTGAGAAGAGGAGGCCTTGTGGTTTTTAGCTTTTGTTTGGTGCGCGATTAATCAGCCAGGGATCGCGAGTCGGCAATGAGGTAGAGTTTAGAAAACGCCCCACGCGACGGGCGGAAACAACGCCTGGGGCACGTGTCGTGGTCACGTGCTCGCGATCCAACGCATGACCACTCTTCATCTTAGCATTTGGGTGTGTGCGACCCCGGGAAATGGTGTTACTTCCGAGTGTCTTTGTTCTCGCTGAATGTGTGTCCTTCCTTACTCCCCCCACTATCGATTCTCGCATTATGACCAATAACCGTACCTTCTTGCCCCATAGCTCCCAGGTGCCCACATTCCGTTTCCTGTTCGCATTTGTTTCATTCATGAGGCTAGACCATCGATCGTCTTGTTCCCGGACGGCTTTACTGCACAAAGCGCGAGGGACCCACACCAGTGAATGTTTCGGTTCGATCTTCACGCATGAATGGCCACCGCACGCCTCGTTATGTCATGCCTGAAGGTCTTTTTGCCGAACTGCATATACAGCCTCACGTACATGACCTATCGGTCTTTATCACTCGTCGAAGCGTCCAAACCGAGTTCCGCGTTTACTTCCGGCGCCACTGCCGCCTCTCCAGGAACGCAACTAAGCAGGGGATCAGAGGGGAGGTCCTCTTTATGCGTGCGGGCAAGCAATGCAGAGGCGCTGTAGTCGGGACACGGGCGGGCGACCCTTTGCTCATTACTTCCATTTTCAATCAGTGCGTCCGTTCTTTTCTCTCTCATGTTTGTCCGTTGAGCCGTTACCCAAGGATTATGCAAGACATTATCGACTTCCAGGTCAATAACAAGAAGCTCCCATCTCTCTACGAGCTGCAATACCAAGCTTAATACCATCTCTGTTGAATCCCCGTGTAGACTAGATTGCTCTCTTAAAACCTGTACTCATAGTTTTCGAATTTTCTTTCGTCTTCGTTCGAACATCATGTACACAAAGAAGAGCGTGCAAGAAAATTGGACAAAGTGAGCATGTAAAACTCTTCAATCTATGCTCATTTCTACATCACCATCGTCATCCTCCTCTCGGTCATCTACTGCCCCGACGAAGCACGAGTCGGTAGCAAGGGACTGAGATGTGTTCAGCAACATCGCCGGTTTCTTCATCTCGAAAATTCTTCACACCTTTCGTAATGGAACGACAACCATGCCTTCACAAAACGACCCATCAACAGTTGCAAGTCCTTTCAAGTCGCAACTGGCAAAATGCCCTTCGATCTGCTCAAGAGTGAGTACGACACCCTTATCGTCAGCTTCTAGGTCACGGCTCCAGATCTTCCCACCGAAGTCTGGATACTTCAAGAATGGATCTTGAAGCAGGCAAAGTGGCCGATACGGACGACACACAATATACACTGGCTCGGCCCCAGCCAAAGACTGGATGATGTGCTCAATGGCCAGGGGTTGACGTGTACCGCCCTTCGTGTAGTATATTGAGCTGTTACCGCGGTGCTTCAGTCGGGTCGAATACGAAAGGCCCTTGTACTTGACATTGCTGAATGTCCGGTTTGTGAGAGGAAGTGCGATGTTCGACCGACGGAAAGCGGAAGCGCAATCGTTGAGTGTGGCGGGGTGCTTGGAGCCCCCTGACTTCGCGGCGGATACCCCACGAAAAATTTGATCGAATCTCGACTTCAGCTCATTCGCAACGGGAAACACGGCGCTACTCTCCAGTCGATAGACGTTGGCCATCTGTTGATACCGCCTTCCTATGGTAATTTCATATTCACCTGATAACTAGTGAGCAACAAACATGAAATCGAAAGCGATCGCACCAGGTTTGTAGTTGGTCTTGATCCTAAGCATCTTGCCATTCATCCGTTCGAATGGATAAGCCCACCATCCATGTACGGGTCCAAACAAACGCAAGAAATGGGGGATGTGTAGAGCAAGATGATGGTTGGGATGAGCCGTGTACTCGGGGAAACAAGTGTGGAGTGCGATTCGATACTTCAGCATATGATCTTCCACTTTTGCATCGTTTCCTTGGATCAATTTCCGGGAAGAAGCCAGATCCACGGCAGCGATCAAATGCATGGTCATGTCCAGTAGCTGCTGACGTTGCAATGTCGAGCCGGACCATAGCCGTATGAGAGTCACTGGAATATACACCATGGCCAATGCTCGCCATTGATCTGCTTTCAGCTTCCCATGTTGTGCGGATCCATAGTTGCGAGGCACAGATGACACCCAAGACGGTGTGTGCACAGCAGCGATATCTGCCCACAGTGCTTTCATCTCTCCTTTGGTAATGACATGACCGATTTCGAGTTGACCATCATCCATAATGGGCGCAGTTTCTGTCTGCTTGCGGCGCTGGAGGGATTCAGCAACGGTATGTAAACAACGAGTGGTTGGTCTCACCCAATTGATGAGCCTGTCGACAAGTTTCGATTTTGTAAGAGCTTTCCTTGACGATTGATGGAGAGAGTTTGGTAAGGCGGGCACTTCACACTCTATAGGACAGCCTAGACCCTGGGTAACGTGCACAAGCGCAGCCTTTGATAAGGTAACCAACTTCTTGTGGAGTTCGGCTTCCTCGTCGTCGTATTTCAGGTCGGCATTCGAGATCGTCTCGAGAAACCGAATCGCATCCTTTACTTGGCTTGTGTGTTTCTCAGAGACCAGGAAGTCGGTGGGACTGAGAGATATCGACAGTCTGTGCACGGCAGGACCATCATCAGCTTTCTCCGAGAACCCAAGGACTCTACGGAAAGTCTCGTGAAGGAGACCGAGGAAGAGGTTGTGCATAGGATCGACCACAATCATCTTCGTCGGCTCATAGTATGGCAATCGGAGGAACTCCGAAGTGCGTACTCCGGTACAGTTGAAACAGGCCTGCGCCTGCGTCGGGTGGGCCGCGCTCCGATACGCCTGAGCTGCGGCTTGCCATTCTCCGTCCGTCCTCAAAGGCCAGTCGTCAACTCGGATGTCATTGTAACCCACTCCGCGACCGGTGTATTGGTTGGCGGCCTTGTCCTCCTCCGCTGCCTTGCGCTCTTCAACAGTATCACGGGTGCACTTGCAGACAGTACAAAATTGCGTGTGCGACGCGCTCGCGAACCCCGAAATCTTGCGAGCGGCTGGAAGATCACAAACAAAAGCAACAATCGCGCATCGTATGAGCCGGCCTAAAACATATTCACAGGTCTTCGTGAATCGTACGCCGTAGTGCCAGAGTCTGACAAAACAGTCAACGAGTGGTGCGAAGTACGAATTGGTCGCATCCAGCGGGGTTCGTTGGGCCCTGGAATGATCCCACAGAGAAACATGTTTTCCGTTCGGTATCGCTCTTCGATGGGCAGATTGAGACAGACGAGAGAAAAGGCGCCGACGGATATCTTCTTCCCTGACTGTCTCGCACCCAGTGGATTGAAAAAGTCGAAGTTGAGTGAGAACAGATACCGTCCTTCTCCATCCTCTGATGGGACACTGAAGTGGTGCGCCTTGTCAGGGCCCTTGAAGTTGCGGACAAAAGACCCGTCTAGAACATCACTGAGGTCAACAGGTTCCGCATTCAGGCGATCCCAGCTCTTGTCCATTTTCTTCTCGTTGCCGGGATGAGCGAGGAAGCGAGCCAGCCAGTCGATGAAGTGGAATTCAATGAAGGGCCGGATAGGTACCGCGGTTTCACGACCGTAGGCATGTCGTGGTTGTAGCAAGGGCGTGTTGCATTTGCGACCTTGCCTATCCCGCTTCACACATATCGAAGGATAGATCATGCCCGGTCCCTCGCCCTCCGGTCGATGTGTGTGATGGCATGCAGGGCAGGACGCATGAATGGTATATGCTGTGTCCAAATTGAAGTGTTCTTGCATAGTTGGGACGTCTTTGAACTCTTGGCGAGTAGGATCATTGACAGGTCCGAGCCCACGGCGAACAATATCCTGGGTCGACATCATGACCCAGAGACAACCTCGGCGAGAGATGTGCAAAAGCGTGGAGCAAACAACAATCAAATAAAAGATCATTTGCATCCACACTGCGACATCGCGAAAGAGGGGCTCGTGATAATGGCCTGGATGAATTCGGATGTTATGAAAAAGAGCCTCCAGTGACGGGAGCCAACACACCGGTTTCAAAAGTGATGTCTTCAAGGTCGTCGCGACTTGGCTTCATGCATGCCGAGGCGTCCTCCCAGGATCGCTTGATGGTCATGGCGTCGTTCCATATTCCATCTAGCTTGTGCATTGCTTGATGAATCAGCGATTGTGCTGCCGCCTCCTTATGGGCATTGGAGGCTTCTCGGAAACGGGTCTGAAGCTGGCGTACTTTGGCGAGGTGGCGATCGATCTGTCCGATACCGACTTCCAACGCTGCCAGGTTCAAGCCTGGCTGGGGAGGGCACAGTTCATCCGCTGCAACGCGCAGTTCCGCCACTTTTTCTGTCTCTAATGATATTGCAGCCACCGCCTTATACTTGTGCTGCATGTGCGTGGACAATCCTTCGACCCGTATCGGTGGAGGCAAGGCGGCGCCGATCTCAGCCCTCTCTCGGATTCTCGCCTGCTCTCGTTCGTGAACTGCGGCGGCAGCAGCGAGAACGCGGGACTGGCTCAGCGCATTCTCTGTCCGAGTCGCCGAGTTGACAGGAAGATTCGTCAAATGAGGTGCAACAGTCTGACGTCGATGTTCGGCCAAGGCTCTAGCCGTTCGAAAACCACGCGGAGCCCCTGACGCACGGCAACTGTCACAATCGCAAGTGAATTTGTCCTTCGACTTTGTCGCCGGGAATGTCGCAGGATCCAGAAGTGGCGGCGGAGGTTGCTCCATGGCGCATATATACGGTCTGAGCGTAAGGTGTGTCGAGGCAATGGAGTGGAAGCACTCCAGATAGCGGAGAGCAATATGCTACGATTGCAGGCTGAGCCAAACGGGACGTATGATGACTCGCTACTCCAGTAGATGCGAAATCAATCAAAAGACGGACGGGCAGACGGGCCGAACTCGAGTCGGTGGCCAGTCGTCACATGTCTTCTCATTCCGATCTCATCCCTCTCATGTCCACGCCTTCCAGCCAAACAGTTCAGGCTCCTGCGGGCCCCAAAGATAATGCAATGACCAGCTACTTCACCATCCGAATAGAGAGGGTGCAGAGTGAAGAGGCCTCACTACGAACAGTGAAACGCAATACTTTGTACCGTTGATGACTTATGCTTATCTATTCCAGGATCTCGCTGCAAGCGCCGCAAAATTGAAAGACTTGGAAGAACAGGTATGGGCAAGTAACACGTGTATACCCTGGCCTAACAATCCTCTAGATCCATGCCCTGGACAATGCCCCCTCACCAGAGGTGCAGCTCCAGGCTATTCGTGAAAAGGTTCATAATTTGGTGCGTCCATGGGCCGCTGCTTGGATCCAAGGCAACTGAGGGTCCCAGGATCAACAATACGTGCAAAAAAAGCACCAGATGTCAGCTCTCAAAGCTGAACAAATTCAGCTGGAACAGAGAGCTCAAACGGCAAGGAGGTTCGACTCGGACAAGCGTGCACTCTTACGTTGTAATAGGACGACCGTCTTGGGATTCTCTCAGCAAACACATCATGTCTGGAACAGGCTAGGCACAGCTCCATTCGCCCTAGAGTTCTTCTGATTTCCGGGCAGTTCTCTGTGCATGAGAAGACGCTTACAGACTGGATTTCTGACCTGAAGACCAAAGTGGGTAATGGTATCTCGGATCATTCGATTGACTTACTTTTGTTGTCAGGTGGATGCAGAATTGGAAGCTCTGAAAATTGAGCATCAAGCCCTTGTCGAGAAATACAGTCATAACTCGACAGAACTGAGCGTTGCCGAGGATGAGCTCTGCTTTGCTCATGATGAAATTGACCACCTCAGACTAGTCATCAATGAGGCCCGATTTCTAAAGGCAGAGTATGAGCGAGCCCAGGGACTGGTTCAGTCTATGGCTGACAACGACACAAACAAGAGCAAGGCTCTACACAGCATGATCTTAGAGCTGGAGCCACGGAGCGGCGACAAAGTGAGCGTTCGCAACGCCGTTAGCTGCAGATGATCTCTCAGCTGCCTGCTCAAGGAACCCCCTCGGACTGCATCTAATTTCGCCCAGGAAGATATGCGAAGCGAAGAAAACTCATTTGCCACAGCCGAGGTGACCGCGGTTTGCACTCGCTCCAGAAGTTGCGTCGTTTTTTGATCTCATACCACAGGGGTCTACTCCAAGCATACGTGATTCGGAGCCAAACTCCCCAATGAATGATGAAGTGGAACAGGCCGCAATTGCGGAGATGATTACCCCTCGTCTCACCTTACAAACCCCGACAACCAATGATCCGGTGCCCGTGCTACCTCCCTTTCCTCTACCACTCCCTACATCAAATGCCATACAGAAGCCAACTACCCGTCCCGGACGTTCTCGACGTGTGCCGATTCCACCGCCACAACCCTTACATCGCCAGGTTAAAGACATAGGGGTCCTTGAAAAAGTCGTATACATCTATTGCCCAGCCCACGCCCCTTCCTGATCTCATACGCATAGATTTCGGCAATAAATCAAGCATTAACATCACGGTTCCAAGCCTCTGCTCTTGCGTCCTCCCAGGTGCCCACCTTGGCGACATTCGGCTTCACACAAGCATTGCCAGTAACTCCGACACCACCCCCACCAGTGGGGGACGATGCAGATGTTCGATTCTCGTTCGTTCCGTTGAATGAGACGGGTGGACAATCCACTGTAGACTCATAAATGTACTTATAAGACATATAATTTGTAACACTGCTATGAGAGGCAAGCACACTCAGCTTTTGGTCATGGAAACCTACACAAGCCACTGATGGCGGAGGACGGCTTCCTGCACTCCCTGCAGCCGACAAAGTGTGACATCGACACGGTCACTCCGAATGCAAAGCGAACTGTGGGGATCCCGAGAAAACCACCAGCTGTGGCTTGGAAACAGCCAGTGAGAGAGCACTGTCCACTCTAGACGACAACGTCGTCGCTATACGTAACAACTCCCTTCCTTGAGTTTTGATCTGCGCTCGCATAGACGTTTTGAGGAGTAGGTACATAGTGAGAATGAAGACCAAAGTGGTTCTCGCAAGACAGCTCGTGGCTTCGACTCTGGGATCACATTTCTCATGCTGGGCGCATCATATCTGGACTGTGCCGCACCCATTCGGCCAGTAGTCGTCTTCGTCATCGATTCGTTTCCATTCGGCATCTTGAGGATCCTGTATCATCAACAGATATGTAGGGAGAATAAACTCGTCCACCTCGTCTGGGAACGATCGATGAATGGCCAACCAGCCAGGTTCATAAAAATTGACAGGCAGAGCGGGGATTGGAGCCTTGGTCGATTTCTGCATCACGGAACGTCGCAGACGACGGTGAGGACGTGGTCCCGGTCGGTGACTTGCAAGGTCCAATCGATCAAGTAACTTGAGGAGGCCGACGAGATCTCGATGCCGCCAACCCTTCCGCCTCACGACCTTTACACCTTCCTCTTCACCCTCCGAGTCGGAAGAACTCATGCCTTCTGAGCCTACGATATCTAAGGTCTTGACCAGCGTGTCAAAAGCATCGCCTTCTTGTTGCTTGTGAAAGGAGGCTGTCCGGCGACGACGCCTCCAGAGCTACAGGTATGTTAGCCTCGCGACGCTTCCAATGATGACACGCACAGTGCCCCGATGTTCGGAGCGACGGCTCGCTTCAAGATGGTTCTCCAGTTTGGCAGCCAGTGTGTCCCTGAGCTTCAAAATCCGCCTTCCGAAGTAGTAGGCGACGAATCTGGAGTCCAAAGTAGGATGGCTCGAGCGAACGTGAGCGACAAACAGGGATATGAGGCTAACATTCCACGGATGACCGATTTCATGCCAATAGACACGCAAAGGATCGACAGTGGGAGCCGTGGGCGATGTGGCGGGGGAGCTGAGGTAAGCTGAAGCCTCCGCTGTCGAGACGGCCAAGCCATCGGCTAATTTGAATTGCAATTCTCTATCTTCCTGGATGCCGAGCAGAGCCTGTGTGATGAGGCGTATCGCACGCTAGAGCGTTGAGTTAATCACTGACCACGAACTACAACCCTAGCTGCTGACCTTCTTTGGACGATATGAGTCATCCCGATACGCATCTGCATAAGCTCGAAGATGTTTGTCGTTAAATGGTTCCAGGATAACATGCATGGGCGTCAATTCTAAAGGGGAGGATGATGTATGAAGGGGTGGCTGAGTGATCTCGATATCATTTATTTCGTCACAGGGCGCTGACACAGAGCCTTGAGATCCATCAAGCGTTCTTGCGAGAACAACCCCACAGTCGTCGGAATCCGCATTGACGTCAAGGGTCACACGGGCGGCGATCTGAGGCAATGGTAATGCCCTGGGATCTGTCCGAGCAGGATGCGACGCCCGTGGAGTATCTGGCATCTCTGTTCCTGAAGAAAACGCCTTGATGTTATTGATGAAGGTGTTTTGTTCTGTAAAATTTTCCCGCCATTGTGCTTCGTTTTTTCTCCAGTCGTTGTACAGCTTGTCAGTGTCGTGTTCAAGATCGTTAATATGAGCACAGATCCCGTCGTACAGCTGGGAGAGAGATTCGAGCTCATCTTGCAACTCAGCCCTGATAGCAGACTGTAGAAGTGAGCACTCTCGTTTTACAAGCCTGTCGGGCATGAAACCTGCCTGTATTTGCGCGTATGATCGCAGTGCATCAAGCTGCAACTCGCCTAGTCAGCAACCGACTGGAGGAGTTGTGCGCCAAGACATTCACCTGCGACTTCAACACGGTAATGAATTCCTCCTGACTGATGCTTCAGCTAGCAAAGTCCAGAGAGCTCAATGGGCGACATACCTTTGTCATCGCGAGTGGAAAAGTTTCGATGCAGCTCGAATGCCTACGGTAAGTGATGGATACCCGAGTCGATGGCATCTCCCCCGATTGTGCCATCATGTCTAACACGGCTCAAAGGGGCTATAATTATAACTTAGAAGTAAGCGCATGGCAGACTTTTCTGATTTCCGTTATGTCACAAAGGAAAACACGAGTTGAAGGCCTTTGTCTCCGACTCCCTTAATATTCTTCTACAGTGGGACAAACTCATACGCTCACCTCATGTCGGAATCAACCCCAAACACCAATCCTTTCGATCGCTCTCGTAGCCTCTCCGTTGCATTCATGTTCATACAACCTGCCCCGCTACGCGGTGCTGGGCACTCCAGCGAACCTGTTGACCTTGCATATGAAGCTGAAGAAAGTGAAAGTGACGCAATCGCTCGTTCTGTTGCGCGTCTCAAAACCAAGCACGAAGATGCAAAGAAGGTGAAGCCTCTCGTTGCAACCATGCTATATCAAACACTCATGCAACTGTCTGCAGGAGATTACGGAGCTGAAAGCCCAGATGAGACTCATGGAAGAGGAAAACCATCGCCTCAAGGACGAGGTCGAAAATCTGCGGACTCGCCTCGTTAACACTGTGCGTCCCTTCGTATTTGCAGGTGGTATATCTCAAGCCTTGCAGTCCGCCGATTTCCCACACGCATCGCTCTGTGTCATCTGTGGGGATTTGTTCCATCGGCCTTTCGTGTGAGCTCTCCCCCCCTTCGCGTGGGCTTGCGACTGAAACGACCTCAGACTGACCGCTTGTGGTCATAGCTTCTGTGAGCGCGATCTGTACGCATGGTTCAATACAATCAAGCATGATCATCCCAAAGGTGCTCTCGTGAGTAGAAAGGAAGTCGACTTTCGAGACGAGCTGAGTCACACGCCAGTACTCGTGCCCGATGTGTCGTGCGACGACAAACGGAGCCCCTGTGCAGAACTATGCGCTCCAAGGCCTCATCAACAGCTTGTTGCGTCGTGAAGTCGTACATAGCACAATGGACGAAGGAGACCCCTGTTCTTGGGACAACTTCCCTGGTCTCTAGACTACTTGACTTCGTGTGGCGGAGTTTAAGGTAATGTAGTATAATCATGTGACCGTGTCCCTTTGTCAGCAAAGCTCAGAAATGTTGCACGTGACGATTTCTATTAGACGGTATATATCAATCTCATCTTATCTGCGAGCCCTAATTGGCGACCTCCTACTTCAGTTGAGCGTTCCTGGGAACAAATGCAGCTGGTTCGGATCAATCAGCAACCCGCGGTAGACTTGATCTGAGGCACACACCGGGCATGGGGACCATTCGTTCCGCATAGATGTGGGGGTGATTTCATTCTGGGAAGCTGGAGGAGTAGCATTCGGCAGTGTCGTGGTCGAGTGGTTTCGTGAAAATTCTCGTTCCGGCTAGGCATTTCATGAGGTGCGGTATCGTCTTGGGGTCAGTCAAAAGTTTGGCCACGCCCAAGGTCCTGCCTCCTCCCGCTTCGTTGATTCTTCGTCTTTCCCCTCGTGCGTTGGGTATGCCAACAGGAAGTGAGCCATCGTATCGTCTGCACGGCGACATTTCGGTCATCTTGGTGGGTCTGCCTTGCTGATCTTGTATAGATGCGCCGCCAGTAGGACGTGCCCCGTTCGTAGTTGTAAGAAAGAGTACCGCTGCTTGCGGTCGCGGTATCTTCGTGATCAGTTTCTGAAAAGTATCAGTGGGGCTTTTCGAGGTGTGAACTTGAATCGGCCATAGCGAGATGAGCTTCATCATTCGTTGTTTGCTTCGTCCTGCAGCAATGCTGTAGAGCGGCCGATTTGCTGAGGGGCAGTGTTCCCCTCAAAGCCTTGTGTAGGAGTTTATCCGCTGCTGCTCTTCGCCCGGACTGTTTCCTCGCTGCTTCTGCCCCAATGTTTCTGTCAATGCCTCACTCGTCCGTGAACGCTTTCCACTCATCTGGTTCCGTTCTCTCTTGCTCTGTAGCGGCCAGCTTTGTGCTTCAGTGTGCAGTCATTACTGTGAATATCCACTCTGCTCTTCAGCGCATCGATGTTATCGTTTTCATCCGGGTGGGGTCCAAATTGAATTCCCGCATGACCTCGTGTAGCGGTGTGCGATGTCGTTTCACGTATCGTGTGCTTGCGTTCCGTACTGCCCGGTAGGACAAGGAAGCTGCGTGAAAGGGGGAACGTGAACGAATGGGGCCGATGGGCAACTGGGGCCGCTCCGCGTTTGCGACGCGCTGACGAGACCGCACCCACACGAACGAGAGCACCCTCTACCGCGCCGCACCTGCCACACTACGCCCTGATGCGTCCCTGTCAGCCTTCCCTCGTATCCCGGCGACCTGCACCTGACGGTGATGCACGTTGGTGTGTTCTGGGCCAACAAAGTTGTGTGAGTGAGGCGGAGGGTTGGGTCATGGCGGTTTGTCAGGAGGGATGTGTCCTGAGCTTTCATCGACAGTGCTGCGGCGCTGATAAGGGACAACTGAGTTTCACCTCAACGTCCAGGAATTGTATATACAGCGACCTCGAGAATCTACAAATGAAGATTAGCAAAGACAGTCTAAAAGATCGCGGGACTTACTTGTCTAATCCACGAGTAATTTGCCGGCGGACTTGGCGCACAAGACAACGATATGCTCCCGAGTCGGGTGGCTATGCTACATAGCCACTCACCTCACCGTCCAGATTATACGCGAGATCTAGAGTTACTGTCGGTTTCAAACACGACCAAAACTCCCGACGACTCGCGTCCTCACCCAGTTACTCGTCGACAGCCTCTGGTATGCAGGGTTGTGCATCGTCCCTACTGCGCATTCTTCTTGTCCTAGTCGAAATACAACAAAACGATTGTGTTGCATCTCGTGTACTTAATTGCTGCAGTCTAGCATCTCTGAGATTTCTTAGCAAGCCTTGCACGTGATCAATCTCGGCACCACCCAACTTTCTTTGTCCCTTCTTCGTCAATGGGTGCTATCTACGAGCTTCAGCATACCCTCGTACCCGTTGCTGCACCTATACCCGCAGGTCCTGGCCAGCCTTCACCTGCTGTCAACACCATCATCTTCTTCCAGTCCAGCAAGCTTATATCGGGAGGTTCGTGGCCCTGTGATCAGTCAACCTTTCCGACTTACGGATGGCAAAGGGGACGATTGTTGTGTTCGGGTGTGGGATCTAGAAAACGGTGAACAAATACAAGCACTACGGAGGCATCAATGGAGCCAGATCACCCACCTCATGGCTTTCGAACACTGGCATACCCGAACCTCAAACATCTTGGTCGGGTGCGGAAATGGAAATGTGAGCATTATACCGCTCGACGATCGTACCAAGGTATCTTTCACTCCGTATAACCAATTCAGAATGACCGATCCGCCCTTAGCAATTCATGCCAGAAGCAGGAAGTCATTTCCCGTTGTCCACCTCCCCTGTCGAATATCAAACGGTCAACTCTATGACAGATAAATATTCTGTAGGATTCCAAAATGGAGACATTCAACTCCACTCCATAGACCAATCTAGCAAGTCAGTATTTTGCAGTTGCATACCAATTCTCAATTACAGCCGACAGGACGGCTCAGTCTCATCTGGAAGACAAACCTAGGAGACATTATCCGTCACATCATGTTCACTGGTTCCAACGTCAACGATCTGAGATATCACACGCTTCGTTACGGGCTAATGTACGTCCTGAAACACACCCATTCCTTCTGAAGTCAGAGCTGACAGAATCGACGTCGATGGGACCACTGGGAGGATTCTCCATTCAACACAGCTAGAGGCCGGTTCTGTGTGAGTCCCTTCACCGTCAATCGAATCATGAGGATGAACTTCTACTCCATTTTAGAGGCTGTGTCAGCTACACCCCAGATGAATCCCAAAAAGCGATTCAAAATATCTCTTCGGGTGGTGTGGATTTGTACAATCACTCCTCGACTCCGACAGTCAGCCTTACCGTCGAAGCTGGGAAGGGCAAGAAGATTCAAGGGCTCGCTTTTGGAGAAGACGGCGCCGTTCTCGTCTGCGGAATTGGTTCAGGACGCATATCCGTTTTCACGTCCATGCATGGCGAACGAATTCAGGTTCTACGACACCGAGGTATTCTTCATGATGATTTGCTCGCATACCATTCCCCAATGATTGTTCACGTAGATCGAAGCACGATCTGTGCTCTTGCTGTCAGTGCCCAACCGGTTGCTCCAGCGAAACCTCTAATCGTTTATATCAAAGACGAGCACCTCGGGAGATCATCACTTTATCGCGGCCGGTGACTCGGACGCCAGTGGAATGATATGCCTATGGAGCAAGCCTGTAGTGGTCGCCTCCTATCATAGCTGTTCTTGGTTGCTGACATTTGCGCAGACCGATTGTTACGTCGAAATTGATGGACCCGAAACCCAGCTGGAGCTTGATTCCGACTTTGCAAAGATACAAGAAAGCATTCTGAAAGAGCACGAACAGAACAATCGTCTCATGCTTTATATCAAACGAGCTGCCATCGTCCTGGGATTAGGCACATCCGCCGCCGTGCTCACGCTCCTCTACATCGCTATCAAACTCGGCATAATCGAAGAGTTATACCAACGTTCCCGGGAGCGGCTAGGACACATCGATTTGTAGTAATATTGCGGCTCTATTTGTAGTATATTGCAACTCTAAATTGTTGTCTAACATGTACCTGGAATGACAAAATGGACATTGAAGAGAACCATTCACGAGACACGTTCAATACAACTTGCAAGGCGTCTTCCCAACGAAATCAGCTAGGCAGAGCTTCGTCTTTCGATGGAACTTGGTACCGGTGAGGGTGCACCTGGAACCGTCGTCCAACAGAACCTCGCAGTTGTATCCTTTCGTGCGTTTCGTGACCGTCAAAACTTCTACAATGGAACCGCCTAGCATATTCGACGAGTTCCGACGCTCGATAGATGAATCAAAGCGAGTGGAGAACCTAGATGATACGGTCGAAAGACCCGACTGGCTTAATGAAGCAGGGCGAGGACCATCCAATAACTCAGGCAGGTGTCGTTGTCCAAACGGCTGAAAAATGGTCGCAGACGAGGCCGGTAGGTCTGTCCAAGTTGACCGTCCCTGACGCCCATCGGCACGGACGGAATCGAACGAAGGCGGTGCGAGGGATGGGGCCGCAGTCGCAGGCTGATGTTGCGACGTCAATATATATGACCCGAATTGACTGTACCCATGAGATGACAGTCGGGTTTGACCAGCAGATGTGGCAGAGGTCACTTGGTAAGGCTGGAACCGGGGCTGTCCAAGTGACGCATCCACAACCGTGCTCACAGAGGGGGTCGACGATGTTGGATTGGCCGGTGCTATAACAGGCATGGTGGTCAGCTCGTCGGTGGGGAAGTTCACTGTGTACGGCCCAGTGCGATACGTCTGCGTCGATAACGGAGGTTGGGGCAGGAAGAGGGGTGTGGTGTTCGAAGGTTCGGGCGGGACCATAGATGACGAAGAATGGCAGCTCTCATGATGTTCGACTCGAGCAGCAGACGGCACAGGCCCGTCTACTCTGCGGCTGCTTGCCCCTTCGGCTTGAATCGGTTGTATCGCACGCCCATAATCGAGCCCGACCTCTTCTATTACCGCGATTGCGGTGGATTCTGGTGCGGACACCGGATCTATTGAACGCTTGCGGGCTTCCCGGCCAAGGTGCAGCACTCGAGACTGTTTGCTCGCCAAGTGAGCCATCATCGCGTTGACGTTCTCCGCTTGTGTTTGCAGTGCAAGGCGGATGCGTTCTTGGCTTTGCTGTAGACATGAACGGGAGACTTGAGCGTCTGCAATGAGAGCTCGAAAGCGCTGTACGCTGTCTTCGTATTCAGATATTTCAACGGACTACATGTTTGGCGTGAGACGATCGTATGAGAGTAGCACAAGATGCTCCACTTTACCCCTTGTAATACCATTTCCTGCGCTGCATTTATCTGAAACGATTAAATCGATGGGACAACGCAGGCCTGACCTTTACCTGTTGCAGAAGAGAGGCTATTGTAGAGTCCTGGACTCGGGTTAGAATAGCGGCATTTGGGGCAGTGCAAACGGCCTTACAAGGTCCTCAACGCTAGATGATCCTCCAATGATACCCGCGAAGTACTTCTCTTGTTGAGTTCGACGGTCCATGGTCATCTTCGTAAGCAGACGATTTTCTTCAAGGAGACTGCCCAGTCGATGGAGCAGCCCACCAGGCGCGTTGGAGTCGGCCGGATTTGCATTTGCGGATATGGGGCGTTCCATGTCGACCTCTTCAGTCAACTCAAACAAGGCGGGCGGGCTTGAATCTGGGAAACGAAACAGAATAAGAGGCTTGCTCTTATCCACGCGAAATGCTACAAAGGCCGAATGTTTGAGTATTTGCGAGCATTCCATTCCTGAAAGATCTTTGGCTGACCACAACCATTGCAATAAACAAAGCAGTCATAGCAAGGAATGAAGCAACAGGCAAGGCTAATGTTCTAACGCGGCTCACCGGGAATGATCTACCAGTAGGGCTCATCAGCATGGACCGTGCGGCGTACGGATCGTGCGTGGTGATGAACTATCAACTGATACTATCATACTAACACTTGATGTCATACCATCTTTGTCTAGTCTCTGACGATTCTTCGACTGTGGCTTCGTTCTCTATCATCTACTGGACCGACAGACGCGAATGAAAGCCACGTTTCAGAACCTGACAAGGATCTGGGCGGCGCCGACCATTGCGACGGTGTGTTCACGCTTTGCCTCCTCTTTGTTCATATTGACGAGTGTGCGCGCAGATGGGCGGGAATACGATTCCCGACGCAACAGAGATCGGCGACGTGGGTGCTGCCTCCTCTTCACAGCCCTTAACTGGCCAATTCCGGCATGGATTGGGCCTTGCTGAATCGATAGACGCTAATATTCTTCGCGACGACGAGGCAGGTGAACGTTATTTCCTGACGTGAACCTCAAGATGACGTGCTGTCCCATCAGACTATTCGCGATCTAGAAGCGAAGAACGAACAACTGCGGGAGGACATCGCGGAACGAGATGAAGAGATACAAGAGCTTAGAACGGTGCGTTCTATAGTGTTAAGCACGATCGCACTGACTCTGGCACATTAACAGGCACGGTCTCACTTGGAACAATACTACAGGGAAGTCATGGAGCAGAAGCGGGCCCTCGAAGAGGGGTTCATGTCAAGGACAATAAGCCTGAACGAGGCGGTGAATGCAGAGATGGATGCGTTGACGGCGGAAAGAGATCGCTGGAAGGAAGCATACGAAGGGACCAGGGTCGAGGCTCTCGCCGCTCAACTTTCAATCTCAAATCTCGAGACTACGCTCGGTGAGCAGAGAGAAGAGATCGTCGCTGCCCAGTATCACATCTGGACTCTTGAGGCACGACTGAGGGATACAGACGGAGGCCGTTCCATGGAGGTTGACAGACCCGCCTTGACACCAGACCAACCTGGTCCTTCAACGGATGCTCCTTCTTCTCCACCAACGATCGCACCTCCCCAGCTGCCTGAGGTCAATCGCACCATACCCTCAGCAGCGACGGCAGCTCGGGTTGGCGCCCTGGCACCTATGGACGTCGATGCGACTTCAGCTGGGGACGGGCCTTCTCCAAGCCTCGGCAGAGACCCTGATACTCCAGTCCCAGACGCCGCCCCATCTGCGGAGACGACTGGGCCTTCTAGCCCTAATGCTCGACCCTTCGACTGCCATGTTCACGCTCAGGCGATTCCCGGAGTTGGCGGCATATCAACTTTCAATTACGGACGTGGCCGTCTTAGGCATTACTTCTCTTCGGACGAAGTTGAACGGGTGCTTGCGGGTGTGGGGGAGCAAAAAACCGCGTACCAGGCATGCTGTTCCATCCCCCTTACGAATTTAGCCACTGATAGATTTTACAGAACAAGATTCGCGACCTGATCCACTCTCTTCTCAAGATCAAGTTCGCCAGAGACATTGTTCGGGTGATCGAGGGGGAGGGTCGTGTTGCTGAAGAGGAGGCTTTTGCCTATAGTAGTGACCCCAACGTTACACCTGGACCAAGCCTGGAGCCTTTCAGGGTTTATTGGGGAGAAGATATTGAATGCCCGTGGAACATCAAGCTAATGCAACTGGTTGTTGCGCAGTATGGATCGAAACAGCTGGAAGGAGTGCCTGCGTCGTTTATCGGTCTGCACTTCTTTAGACGACTTCGCAATCTCCGATCAGAGTACAGGAAGCAGGGCCGTGGGGCACACGATCCCGGGAAGGCCGCTTATTCCGATGCGGTTCGGAAACGAAACTCCCAACGTTCTTCAGTAAGCGCGATGTCGTCTTCGTTGTCAACGATAACTCTATCTTTCATAGCTCTTGTCTCTGCGCATAACTGAGATCGAACTTCTCTCCGAAGTATTCAAGCACCCAGTAATTCAGGAGTTGCTTGCTACTATGAAGGACAGCAAGCTATTCAACGCGATCTTGATGAGTTCGGAGGAGGACGTTCCTGTGGAAGTTGGCCCTCCAGGGGCAGCAAACGTTTTGGACAAGTTCTGGCGCAATCCAAAGTGGGTCGCTGTTATGAAGATACTCGACGCATTCCACAGAGAGCATCGCACGTTGAACCCCACACGAGGGTGCGCTCCTCATCTCCGGATTCGACATGCGCCTGGAAAATATGAATCAACGCGTCCGCCTCCTGCAGGACTTCCCAGAAACTGGTACAACCCCAAGATGTCTAGCGAAGAGTTGGAGAAGCTGTTTCCCGCACCGCCTCATCCCTTTGCAGAGGAGATTCTGACATGGCCCGAGTTCGCCATGAGCACCTGGGGACCCAAGGCTCCGACTCGGGATACAGACTCGAATTGGCCAAAAGTGTACCCGTCTGAAGTGTAGGCTCCAACAGACTGTTCTTTTGTGTATACCACGCTCCTACTGTAATAAGAAGTCGATCTATATCGCCAATATTCCTGCGTGATCAGCGTAGAAGACTAAAAACATACGGTATACCGTATACATACCTGTAGTCGGCTGATGTTCACGTGCTCACCGTCCAAATCACAACAAACAGAGCTTTGTGCTTTATTCAAATTGAAAGTCGGTCACAGACTCCAAGTACCAGACCCTACCACGCACATCACCAGACATACATATACACACACGTTGATCCGACATACCGACTCACCCTCCCCAAGCCCAAGTATAGCGGCGGATGACGCCTGAGGACCGAGAGGAAGGTTAGCTCTCTCTGCTCTCGAGGATGATCGACCTGAAGCTTAATTCTGCAATAGCATTGGAGCTGCTGCACCAAGCGCCGTGTGCCGAATCGCAACAGCTGATAGCAGCCCCATGCGCGCAGCCTGTCAAACTATCGCCCTCGTCTGTGACTCTGTCGCAGTTGCTACAGCAACGGATCAGCACACAAGACGTAGGGGGGGAGGAGACGGAGGACGACCGGCCTTTGGGCTACTTGCAGGCTGACTCGTGCTCTGACGGAAGGTTTGTCAACTCCGCACTCGCAGCCAGACGGTTCTCATTATTGTCTTCAAGCAATAATACCCCCAGCACAAGCACCGAGGCTCCCTCAATAGAGCCCAAGCCATATCGCCGCGTACGTTTCAGGCCTGAATCGGTACAGCCTCTTTCGGCGTCGGACGGATCCAAAACCAGGAAGAACAACGGTTCCAAGCGCCGTAAAGCAGCCAGGCGCGAGCGGGATCGAATCTTGTCCGGCCCTCTTCCTCCACTCAAGTCCGTCCATCAAAAGCGCCAACGGTCCGCCGGCAGCGTTGACTTGGACCTCAACAGCGCCTTCTTACCCCGATCCAGTCCTGCATGGCAGGGTTTCCCAGAGCACCAGAAGCGACCGCCGCCGCCCACGCAGCTCAAACCGCCTATCCTTAAAACTTCAACGCAGGCGACGCCCACGGTGACTGGCATGGCGAAGGGAAACTTTGTTCCATGTCAGAGTGACGTAGACAAGATGGCTGGCGAGGAAGGATTCACCTACGTCAACTGGGCTGGAGAGTGGGAGCTTTTGCCTTATCTTATCTGAACTGCTAATCTTTTGTTACAGAGCGCGTCTGGACATTGTGGATTCAGAAGGTCGCGTCATTCTTTCCTAGCAGGGAAGCCGAGGGATCTTGCCGGCTACGCAATTGCCACCGAAGCCGCCGCCACAATTATGCTCGAAGAGCTTGAGAAGTGCGAATTCAGGACGAAGGACATTCATCATCGCCGTGCAGGTCCAGAGGGATACGCGACTATCACTACTGGCGTTTCGCATGGTGGAGGTCGAAAGCAGCCTGGAAATGTGGCGCATGGCAGGACTACTCATGCGAACGCTGCAAAGCGCCTGAAGGAGAGCCCCCACATCAAGAGAATCGTTGGTTTCACAAACGGTGCGCAACCCTATTTCCCAAAAGGCTCTGCTCTCACTAAAGCACCAGACGCCTTTCGTGTAACAGCCCCAGAGCTTTGGTTCTACTATTGGCTCAACATGACGAGCTTGCTCCAGTGGGGCGCATCGTTTCTTGTCTGGGCGTTTACAAGGAGCGTCTTTGCTGCTTGCACCTTCAATCTTGGGCCACGGGCGGTGACTTGCGACCATCTCGACCACGCCAACCTTGCATGGGGATGGTGCGTTATCACGGCGCTGGGCTGGTTTGATCCAGATCGAGGAGGGCATCTGATTCTGCGGGATCTGAAGCTGATCATCCGCTTCCCAGCAGGCTCGAGCATATTCTTACCGTCAGCGCTTCTCAAGCACTCCAACGCACCCGTACAACCCGCCAAGAAGCGCCTATCTTTTACACAGTACACAGCTGGCGGGCTGTTTCGATGGGTTCAAAACGGGTTTCAAGGAGATGGGAAAGTAAGCATGTCTACCCATGCAAAAGCAACTCGACAGCACCAAGCAGAGGAGAGATGGAGAATCGGTTTGTCGATGCTTCCAGTGTACAATAAACTCAGTGACTAGTAATATGCAAAGCAGAGCTCTGCGCGTTATACCCCCCCATATCGAATTTTCATTGCCGGCAGCGAAGATTTAGCTTGTGCTGAGTCGACTGACGATGAATGCTCGACGACGACTGACAAGGCTGTGCCCAATGAGCTGTCCATCAATTGTCATCAAACACGCCGGAATTTACCGACTCAGAATCATACAGTCATGGCCTTGCGCAATGCGCAGCTCTTCTTTGTTCGCCTTGTAAGGATCCGGTGGTTTTTCATCGTTGTGTGTCCTGCGCCCGGCTCGTCTCCCTGGGCCTCTCTGTATTCCGCTTGCCAGCATCTCGGTTCCAATCGTTCTTTATTGGTTCGTCTTTGTCTCGTGGCATTCGCTTATATCCCCTGCCAAAGAAAAGGCGCATTGTCAACATCTCAAGTATATATGCAAGGCAAACCTTATTATCTTCCTCATTACGAACGTCAACCCGGCCCCCTCACATATGCAGGCGTTTGCTCCTTTTCTCCAACCTCCTCTCCCCCTTATCACTCAGCGCATCGACTGGAGCGAGAACGCCGAGCGCACCCTTCCGGTGTATGGAGCGAAGATGGATGCAGCCAGGTTGCAGGCAGAGCTTCTTGCTCGGCGTCCTATCGTTGCAAGCGCTCCGGATCCTGCTCTTGTTTCCTCGTCAGGATCCGGGCAAGCCTCTCCGGCCGCCGGTCGCGCGTCACTCGGTACAAGAGCGCCTTTAATGGCACCGCAAACATCGACCCCGTCCTCCGACGCTCGTCTCCTTCAACCCGCGCACGGTCTCGCGGCTTGTCCAGCCTTCACTTCAACGCCTGCAGAGGCTCCGCACGATATCGTTGGATCTACCGCTGCGCCGCTAAGTATCAAAATTGACCGCAAATACGAGATTCCTCAAGGACAGCCTGGAAAACAAGGTCGGGGTGGATACGATTTGGAAAACAAGCTCAAAGGGGAATGCCACTGGTCCGCGGAGGAATACGAGGAAGTCGGAGTGCGTTGATCTCTTTTCTGTGTGCTCTTTCATCTCATTGTTCTTCTAGTCTCTAGTCCTCGAACTTGCGCCCAAATATCTGAACCAAGACGTTTGCTTCAGGAGGAACAAGACTTTACCTATAGCAGCACTGTGTCTTGAGGTGCGTCGGTTTATTCTCCACGTCCCAAACCCGCATCTGAGCCGGCTCAAGGTCCTCGAAAAACATCCCTTTCTCAGACCATATCGCGACCATTGGCCAATAAAGGCCTTCATTAAACTGCACCTCAAGGCCACTTCTCGAAAGCATCGGACCTCACAAGCCGACGACAACTAGATCGGTTGCCCATGCTAAGTTGGTGCGTATACACGGAACTTCGATGTCTGTGATATGTAGTTCGTGCCGCGTATTTATATATGAAGTCAGTCTTATTATTCCCTATAGTCGCATACAACACGTTGAGAATACGCCTAGCTCTGCTTAATCTTTCTAATTCTGATGTCCTCTCGTTCATATTATGTCGTCGTTATAGCCAGCGGTCTCCATGGGAGTCCGCGGTGGGCTCGTTGGCCAAGCGGGTGGGGTGCGGTGGCCGGGCGCTCGGCGCTCGGCGCGCAAGCCTTCAGATATAGAGTCATAAGTGCAGATAAGCGCCTGTCTGTGCGAATGGGGTTCTCGCTCTGTTTCATGCGTGATGTCCTTTTGTGACCTCGTGTCCCATTTCTAGTCCTCCGTGTGTTCTCGCGAGGCGTCTCGCAAGTATCGCGTCAGATGTGGGTCGCCTTGGGATCCGTCAAGAGTTTTGCAACGCTCAGGGTCTTTCGTCCGCCTGCCTCGTCCATTCATCGGTGTTCCTCTTCGTGTGCTGGGCATACCAGGAAGTAAGGGGCTACAGTTCGTCTGCTCGGTGGCAGTACCGACATGTGGAGTTTTATCTTTCCGATTCGGACTAGGGTGACACATGCGCAAGGGAGCTCATATGATGGAGTCAAGTAGTCTCTACTTGAGATAATGCGCACGATAATCCTTTATCTTCTCTACTCTCCAGTGCAGTTGCCAAGGTATGTCCTCCATGACGACATCATCCGAGCTGGCGGTAAGATCAATGCCCTTTGTAACCTCCTCCTGGACCCATTTGGTGGCTAGTCGAGTCTGACGAGACAAATGCAGCTCGTGATCTTCGCGAGCTTTACGAAACACTTCTGCAATGCGCGCTCGGTAGGTGATGGCTTCGCTCTTGGCCCAGTGCTCTTGATCCTTCAGCTCCTCTACGTAAGCGTGAGCGCGTGTCAACTGGTCTTTCACAGCAGCAGTGTGATTTGCAATGGATGTAAGACGAGCGGACAGGTTTCGAATATCCTTCTTCAGCGCGGGGATCTCGATTTTGCACTGCGAATCTGTTCAGATGAGAACAGAGATACAGACGCAAAGCTTGCCTGTCTTTCCAACTCAAGTCGTGCTGACCGTAATTGTTGCGATTGTTGAGCGATCTATGCCAGGAGCGTCCTCAGAATCAGGCTGCAATGCCCAGATAGCTGGTAAGACGCACCCATGCTCCTTCGTCAGGCTCATTCAAACTTCTTGTCGACAATCGCTGCTGTTGAACGCGTAAATAAAGGGATGAAATGGAAACACAGAAGTCGACCCACAGCTCTCTTACGGAGAGCCCCAACTTCGGCATGGAGATCATTCAATTGGAGGTCGGTCTTATTGACGATGCTCAGCTGTCAAAGAGTTCAGTACTTGGACGCGTCTCGAGCACAGGGCCTATACTTTGGAATCATACTCGTGTTTGGCAGTATCTATGAGAGGCTGATAATAAGAGAAGACGGTCTCTACGCGCTTCAAGTCGGACAGCTAGAGAAGTCCATTCAGTAGGCCCAAGAGGCGCCAAAAATGAACAAATGCCTTCTCCTCAGCTTCATGGAGAAGGCGCATCTGATCATCTCTCTCCTGAAGTCATGAACGGAAATGTTGTTAGGTTTTCACATGTCACACACCTGGACGCCTTGCTTGAGGGACTGGGCAGCTCTGGCGTAAACGTCTCGGAGGAGAGCCTCCTCTGTGTTATCCGGCGCGAGCATGTATCGATGCTCAGTCTGGTCCGACTCAGAAAATGGTCGTGGCTCCGTCCCCCGCGTAGGTGGCTCCAGCTGCTCCAGGGCCTTGCGTTTCTGTGTTAGCAGCGTTCGCGGCGGGCTCGGTGCTCGGACTATCGGAGTGGCCGCCATAGATATGAGCACAGACAAGAGGCGTGCATCGTGTACATTCTTGAAGATAGTCGTGACGTAACAAAGGACTTGAAGACAAAGAACTGCAGATGTCGGAATCACGTGTTATGATAGATCCTAGAATGGCAGCGAACGACTTGGTAATGGTATAAAGAGCGGTGAGACCTGTGCTTCATATCTTCTTTCTTCAGCTCTCATGGACTTTACATATATGAGCTATGATGATGAGAGTGCTCATAATCCTATCGTCGATGCTACAGTGGCAGAGCTGCAAACCCGCATGCAGGTGCGTTGTAACTTCTTTGTCCGAGTCTCCTCGTTGACTTCGGAAACGCAGGCACTCCTTGATGGCGCCGTCCGTCTTGTGAACAAAGAGGAGGATAAGTTCCTTGCGAAGCACACTCAATCTATGCGTGGAATCTTACAGCACATTGGATCGTTGCATTCCAATCAAGCTTGTGCGTGTAGCTCTGCTCAAGTCCATACATCACTTCTCGGACCAATATTATGAACAGATTCATCCGAAGCAGAGAAGCCCCTTCTTCGAATTGCCATGCTCCGAGCGCTTTCTGCTACTTCCAAGGCGCATGGATTCTCTGCTGAGGTGTTCTACCTTACCGTTTGTGACGGTCTAGACGCTATCTGGGCGGACTTCATAGTCAGAAAGTGGGATATTCTGGCGCGATCTACCGAGCATTCTGGGGCAACACAAGCCAATCTCGTCCAATTTCAGTCTCGGCTGAAAGATCAGCTACAGGCATGTGCGGTTTATCGCTGATGAACAACCTCCCATCTCACGAAACTAGTTGCTCTTTGAGAACATGGTCCTCACGCGGAATGCAGCTGACCAAGAGTTGAAAGCTATTCGTCTCACTATAGAACGTATCACCGCGAATGTGAGTGCCCTTGGTTCCCAGATTGCGGTTTACTTACCTTCGAGGCAGATTCGCGAAGGCCGAGTCGGCAAATCGCGTCAATACAATATCGACACGTATCGCCATTGGAAATGCCTCATTTTGTGGCTAGTCCTTGGATTTGGAGTCACCATGGCTTTGTTCTTGGTCTACGGTTGAGCACGTACGAATGATGTATCTGCACCCATGAAAGAACACCCTCTTCGTTGCATATCTAGTTCAAACACCCATCTCCGCATTTCCAGATACATAATTGAGGATGTGAGAAGCCCCCCACGCATATGCTTACTAGGCTCTTTTCCTGGATCATTTTTTGAAACCGACAATAAAACTCTCGAGCATAAACTGGACAGTGAGGCGAGTGGCTGTGTAACATAGCCACCCGACTCGCACTGTACGTAGGTACACAACCCGTGCATCACTGTATCCACGGACCACTGCCATCGATTGCTAGCTTCCAACATCCTGCCTCACCAAAGTGAGTGCACCGTCAGAAACAGGCACAGCGTGCAGTCGATCCAGCAGTACAGTCTGTCGGACAGATGAAGAAACATGTCGGCTTCCCACCAAGACGCGTCTGCGTAACAAGTGGTCAATAGGTTCTATCCGCACCTCAAGAATCAAGCAAGGCGATGCCAGATGACGTCGAGCTGAATTACCTGTCCTCATTCTCTATGCTGCTGGCTGGACTCATCCTCGAAATAACTGTCTGGCCCGCCATCCTGAACTTGAAGCTTGTATCTGCGCGCTTGTCCCCTCAAACACGCAAGAGCTGGTCTACTGCTTGGCAACATGATTCGAAACAACGCCATACCAGGAGTGCATCCGATGCTCCCAGGTAGCAAGCGGGAGAGAGCGGAATCCTGGCCTGCAAGCGTGCTGAAGCTATCAATCTGCTCTGTACAGAGCACAATATCGAAGCAAGAATGCGGGACTGAGTCTGAGCTCGATGAGATCGAGCTATCGAGACAAACAGGTACTCGCACTCAGCTACATCGCCCAACGCTTCCAACGCTTTCGACTCCATGCCTGTCTCAACCGCTGTGCAAAAGAAGATCGTGCGCTGTCTGCGCAGTTGCGGAACTGGGGGCATGTGAGTGGTTGAGGCCTCTGGCCTCTTTGATACCAGATGCTTACCTTGGGTGCAGGACACAAGTCGATCTCGACGTTATATCCCCCTCTCCGCTTCTCAAAACGTACGCGAAGGACGGACGCGGATGGGTGTATACGGTCGTCGCCATCCCTGAGACAACGCTCGAAGGCTACCTCACTGGTTCGCTCACCTCGTCCGATCTCTTTTCCCTCGCTCGTGTGAAGGCCGGTCATGCCGTCCACTTCCGACGCCGGCAAAGAGAGTACCGCCGATGCGAGTGATCCGGATACGCGTTGATCTGGCTGAAGTTGTATAGAGTGTCGAGACGAATGCGCTTTGGTGCGCTCCTCACCGCATGTCCGATTCGCTTTACTGACGCGTTTCAGAGCACATCGTTCATACCGCTCTGGACTCGATCGGCCAGCGGGCGAAGGTTCCGTGCAGCTGCAAAGGCTACACACGACTGCATCGCGAGTTTTGGAGGCTCTCCGACATTGGAGGCTTGGCCAGCCTGGAGCATATCATCGGCTTGTGCGCTAAGTCCGCTGGAGAATCGCTCATCAACTAGAGTCTAGACAGGTAAGTCCGGGATCTTTTACCGCAGATTATCTTTACTAATCTTCCATTGCAGGTGCTCGAGGTCGATGTATACATAGGATTCATGTACTTCAATATGAAATTCAGCTCCCTGGCTTCCATCCGCGTCCACTCAATCCGTTCATTCCCTCGACGACGCGCCATATGTCAGCCCCCAACCAGCTGATGCGGACGTGAAGGACAAACTATCCGAGCGAGAAGGACCCGAGCGTGCAAGCCGCGCACACCGGCATGCTCGAGCGCACGAACCGCTTCACTAGAACCTATCGTGAGCACTACTTCGTGCTGACACCTGCATGGTTCCTGCGCGAATACGCCAGCGCGGACCCGCTCGTCGCGCGCGCGAACCGGCGTTCGGCCCGTTTCTGCCACTGTGCACGCTCGGCCCGCCGAGCAACGCCAGCGCGCAATGCAAGCTCCATATCGAGGGCGCGAAGGACGGCAGCGGCACGACGAAGAGCGGGACCATGCGCCGCTCGCTGACCATCACTCGGCTGTCTG